TTTCTGTATTCTAGCAATTCTAAATACGAATTTGCAAATTAATATATATATAACTTAATATATCATTGTTTACAATTAAGTTATAAATGATTGCCTCCTTCGCAGTCTGTAATTATGCGAGATTATGCGTACTATATTATATACGGATGTATTATTATTATTATCATCAACCAATATCATATTTGTTATTATCATCATTTACTGCGCAAGCCCTTCAGGAAACAAGTGTATATAACTTTTCCTTTTTGTATTCCGGATGAAATGTATATTTTAATAAAATATCCAAAGTATGGAATCTTGTAACGTTAATACATTAATTTTTTCAACATTAATTTGTCTTGGCATCCCATTATGAAATTATAAATAGATTAATATTGTTATGTGCGTCTCGTTCGCTACTTATTTTAATATTTTTATACAACATTGCCTACATAAAAATATAATCATATTATATAAAAATATCGTTTATATAATATAATCGGTTCATATTAAATAATAGAAATCAATATAAAATTAACTAAATATAATAACAAAGTAATGTAAATAAAGCTTGATATTTGCAACAGCACAACAAGTAACTTTCGGAAACGACCAATAAACGAGCAATTTTAGGTGTTAAAAATTAAAATATTATTTATACATTAAACAACATACCAAATTTAATTAAAAAAACGTTTCGACTCACAGAGTCTTCTTCAGTTTAAAATCGATTAATCTATCCTTGTACTTAAAATGTATGTCGAACGAAATTAATGTCATTATTCAAAGCAGTCGCAACCGTTGGTAGTGATAACATCATTTCCGTAATGATTGATGTCAAGATATAAAAATCATAACTTAATTACCCGTTTAATATCGAGAATCGTATTAAGTCCCATTATATAAGTTGATGTCAGTTATTAAAATATTATGGTATGAGATGATTTAACAAGATTTGAAAAGCTGAACGCGTAGTCTGATTATGTCAGGTCCCAAGGATGACCAATTATTGGTCGTCTTCGAAAGTTACTAAATATAATATATTTGAAAGATCATAATAATTTTTAATGATTCAAAATTATACTTTTCTTGCCGTATCTGTATTTTGTCAATTTCATATTGCTTTTTAATTTAGTAAAATCCAATTATATTATGTAAATATAAAAAGTACTTACTTTCCATACAATGCAGAATTAAAATGAAATAAAATGCTTTTTCATGTAATACATGGGAAAAAAGCTATTTTCAAATTGCTATTATATCTCATTTTTTTGCACTAAAAATGAGTTTTTACCATAAAAATTAAAATAAGAGGAACAACCTCCAATGAACTGCTGAAGTAATTAATCTTCAAAAGTTCTGTATTTGCATTGCTGAACTCCAAAGTGAGTTCAAATGTACAATCAATTTGGAACAACGACGATATCCTTCTTACAAAGTAATAAAAATTTTGACGTCATAACTTGTACCGCTAATCACGCTCTAATATCATTAGCCTTAATTGAATTTGTTTGTCGAGTTAAAAAATTTGAGAGTCCGTATAATTGTTATATTTTAATTTTTCTAGTAGAATTGTATTTTGGAAAGTGAATGAAAGTAGTTAATGTCAAGCTTATCTACTCCGAAATTTGTAATTACAACCGATTTTTAATTTAATCGCATTTTATATCGTTATAAATCTTGATAATTTTTACAAGACGGAAATCAAAAGTCAATCAAAATGGAAGGTTTTTTCCTTAAAATCTTAAAGGGAGATGAAGAAATATTAGACAATTAATTTTGAACAGTTTCGTTTTAGCTTCATTTTGAGGAGTTATAAGCTTCTTTAAAAATATTATAATTTGAAATTAAGATCGACTGTCAGTCACATTTTTCGAATTATAGCAAAAAATTGAAAAGTCCTTTAATTGTGCGATTTTTATGAATTTTTAATTTTATCATTCCATGCAGGTACAGCGTACCTGGCACAAAATAAGGAAAGAAGAAAAAAGGAAAGATGCTTCGCGGTTAAACCAGAGAGTTGCCGACAATAGAAGCGCACCGCGCCATGAATTGATCGTCGATGAATAGAAAAATGCGTGACTCAAAGATTGCAAAGCATCAAAGTCTACGATTCTCTTATGACTGGAATGAAACACGAGAAGAATTTATATCTCCATTCACTAAGATATCACAATAGAGAAATATGCAATTGAATGAATAAAAAGGTGGAAAGATCCGGAATTTTCTCTGCTGCTGGTCTTATAGATTCTCTTTTTCGCGAAAATGTAGCCTCTTCTTATTAGCTTCACTTTGAGCAAAAATTTTTCGTTGCAGTTATCGTCTCAATCGCTGCTTAATTAATTAACATAGAAATAATATTAAACAAAGTATCTTATTTAATTAAGACAGTAATATGAATACACAACGAATAGGAAATAATGGCCCTAAACGGTATATCAAGTTGGAGTTTTAGTGTTTATAAATAATTTGGTGTGAATTTATATACTACATACCCAATCCTGCAAACTGCGTCCCGAATTTAATTTTCAGTCTTGAAATGCAATCCCAACAGAACTTAAGTAGTAATATCACAAATTAAATTGACAAGCAATTTAATAAGATTGTGATATTTATATAAGCATGTTAGAAAGATCTTAATAATCTGATGCTGATAAGCGTTTTAAAACCTGTAAATAATTATATAGCAAAAAATATTACCTAGCGCGGCCCGAATAATTCAAATATATTGTATAGCAATTGAATTTATATTCATTAGAGCCTTGTAATACTTTTATTTAATTGTTACAAAAAATATTACTTCAGCCGGGATAATTAAAATGTTTTCTGTAAGAGAATTTGAGGATGAATGATAATATGAATAGACTGCAAAATATTGAATCTTCTTTAATTGGATAATTGAATAATCAGAACTCAAATAAGGTAAATTTAAATTGAGAGACAAATGGAAGGATAATTGATAAGTGGATAATTGAGATTTGAATGGAAAAAAGCGCTCATGCGAAGTTTGGCGGAAGGGAAACTTGATCGCACACACTCTTGAATCTATTCTATCATGCAGCGATAATCGGGTCTACATGCACCTGTTACGTCCGGAGGACTCCACGATTCCTTTCTTTCGTGGAAAATTTGCCACGAACTATTCTTTTCTCATGCGTAATTAGAGAATAAGTAATTTTTATTTACACAGCAAAATTAAATACTGATGAAATAAATACTGATCGAAGGTACCGTTGGAAAGATCATTTAATTCCCTTCATTTTTGCTTCAGATTATTTTAACGTATCTCTCACCTGTGTTAAACTGTATAATGGAAAATGTAAAAACGCTTTTTCCGGTCCGTCGGTTCCAAATCAGACCATCCCCTGATTCAAATCGAAAACTCCTATTTTTATGGATTTTTAGATAGAATAGCGTTGACGTTGACCCACATCTGGGACCTATTAGAGTGCTTCCGACTTGTGGCACTTTAGAACGGTAACCACAAGAGTGGTGTCTGTTGCGTTCTTCCCTAGCTCCTTCCTAATTTCTTCTTTCATTCGAAATAAAAGAATCCTGAGGCTTGGACGTAACACACCACCAAGGCTGGGCATGTATTTGAAATATTTTTATTTGAAAAACAGTATTGATAAGATAAATATATTTTGTATTTTGTGTTTGTTCAGAGTACATGAAAATATTTTGTATTTTGTATTCCATGGGAGCATATAAAAGTGTTTTGTATTTTATATTTCGATATTAATAACAAAAGATTAAAAGTATTTTATATTTTGTATTTCAAATACTAACATTAACAATCAACCTTATTATTTCAATTACAAAGTACAAAAATCTTTCAACCTTTCGATTTTAAATACAAAAATACGTAATTCTTTTATGTGATCCGCTGAAATAAAAAATACAAAATACGCTTGTATTGTAAATGGTGTGTTTTAAATAAAAGTATTTCAAATACATGCCCAGCTCTACACACCATCAGTAGGTCAATATAAAAAGCATGTTGTATCGAACAGTAGAATGCGAAGAAGGGACTGAAGAATCGGCGTCCAGTGACCCGTTCAAAAGACGTTTCGGTAGATATAACGCAATGGATTGTATATATAGTATATTAAAAATTTACATCTTCTAGTCTTACAATTCGGATTAATAAAGCGCTCGAGTAATAATCGATAAATCAATTGATCTTCGTTCATAAATAATAGAAAAGACAATTTCATAAGGTACGTAATTATTTTATTTAAAATTACTGATATGAACAGATAAATTATAAAATTCTTGCTTTCATTGCGTCTTGTTCTTTTTGCAGCTTAAAAATTTTTATTTCTACTGAGAAGCCGGTGGAAAAATAAAAAGATGAAGAACATCTTCGGAATACATTGTGTGTCGTAAGGCAGCTCTACAGCGATCAAATCTCTCGCCCCAGATACGATATATCCTCTGCAGATCCCACCAGTTTATTTCGGAGATCCCTCTGATGGAGCAAGGGGATGGATTACCGATACTAAGAAATCGAAAAGATTTATACGTGTGTACGGAAAAGAGTAAGTAGGTTCAGAGTAAGTAGGTAAAAAAACTTCGTTTTAGGAAAAGGGTCAAGGGATGCGCGATTAATGTATTTCTTTTTTAGATGTTGCTCTCCACCCTATTTGGCGGGCATCCGCCTGCACTCTTCTGCACCAATACCCGAGTTTCCGTCGTCGTATACATGTGGGGTGTGTATGTATATGTAAATACATACGGGTGGTGCTGGCCGCGGAATGGGGTGAGAGTGAGAGGGTGAGGACGAGTGCGAGCCGGGTCGACCGCGCAAATCTCTGCACGTACATGCACATGTCTGTGTGGGGATGTATGTACACGCGCCGTTTCCATGCATCGTTGTATGCGTGCATGCACAAGGGGTGGCAAGGGTGAGATCGCGGGGATGGTGGGCGCCTTGGTGACGTCATTGCTCTAATCGTCAGTTGCGCAGAGACGGGGTTGGTCACCGCGCTACGTCAGAATGACGGGTCGAGCAAACAGCAGCCGTTAAACCACCCTCTTCGGTCGGGGTTCTCTCTCTCTCTCTGCGGGCGAGCCGACGATCTAGGGGTAAAAAAATATCGTTCTAAAATTTCGCTGTTCATATTCCACTTGACGCCGTTGTTCATGTCGTTCCGTGGTGAGGTTACACGCGCGCAGCATCCCCATAAATCGTTTGCGTTCTCTTCTGCAGAGAGGTACACGAGCATGGAACAGGGAGCGGTGTCGTGAAGTGAGGCGGAAGGCGCGTGTCGTTCGCGCGCGCGTGGTCAACAGCCACGACTCAGGGTGGCCGAGTGCCGGCTACGATGGCTAGCTCGGGCTCGGCGGTCGACGGGGTTGGCGACGACGGTACGACGGGCGTGCCGGGCGGCGGACCCAGGAATCCCCTCACCTGCGGTGTCTGCCACGATTACTACAACGAGCCCTGCCTGCTCTCCTGCTTTCACACCTTCTGCGCTCGTTGCATACACGGCCCGCACATCGACGGGACGATCAAGTGTCCCATCTGCGGGTAGATAACATGTGACGATTTATCCAACGGTTGACATTTGCATATACACGCGCAATATTAAGATTTTTTACTGCTTTTGTGTAACATTAAAGAATTATCTACAGCTTTAGTATTCGTTAGACTCAATGGTTCCAAGAACACTGAATAATGAAAACGTTTCTCCTATTGCTTTTTATATTAGTTGTAAAAAAAAATATTATTAAATTATAATTTTCTTTACGGTATTATATAATAATGCTGTGTTATTATTTATAATTGTACAGGCAACAAACACAGTTGAAAGAAGGAGCACAATTACCACCCCCCGATCAGCTGATACGCCAATTAGTGGAACTGGCAAACTCCGAAAATCCACCATGTGCCAATTGCGACAAGCGCGACAAATCTACTATGTTTTTCTGTACAACATGCGGTATGTTTATTAAAGAAATACCTTTCAATCAGTATCAAATTATCCAGAATATAAAAAGCAATGTCGTACATTTACAGGACAAGCGCTTTGCACTCACTGCAGAGAACATACCCATCGTGCAAAGATGTTCTCCACTCACGAGGTGGTGCACATGAGCAAATGCACCAAGGACACTCAACGTCGCTGTCCGAGCCACGGCGAGCAGTACATAATGTACAGCCAGAGCGCCAAGTGCATGCTGTGCGCCACGTGTTTTCGCGATACACCTCCGGACGCGCGGGTGCACTGCGTGGACATCGAGAGCGCCTGGCAACAGGCCTCGAAGAAGATGGAGCGCGCGGTGAACTCCATCTGCGAGCTTCAGGCCGGCATTAAGGACGGCGTATTGGCCCTCAAGTCTCAGCTGGACGAGCTGCGGCACAGCCTCGAGTCCGAGAAGCGCGCGTTGACCGCCTTCTGCCAAGGTATGCAGGAGGCGATCAACAAGACGCACGCGTACGTCCTCGCGGAATTGCAGCGTCAATTCGACAGCAAGGAGCGGATGGTGCGTACGCAATTGCTTGCGCTCGGTAGCGCGCTACCCGTGCTGCAGATGCATTTAATGCTGTGCACCGCGTTCACCACTGGCGCGACCAAATATCAGTTCCTCGAGCTGGCGCATCCGATGCTGGAACGGCTGAGTCGCGTCGCTCAATTGGGCCATCCGTCGCGGCCGCCTCTACTCGCTGCCCACATCAAGACGAATTATCGGGTCGATTTCGCGCGTGCCCTACACCCTTACATAGGTCAGGTGCAGGCACCGAAGATTACCGCAGAATCCCTGTATGATCAGATGGCCGGTGGTCATATGATAGGGCAGGAACCACAAGTGCTTCAGGTACGTGCGAGCGAAGCAAGAAATTTCACAATTGGTCGATGATCCTCCATCGTGATTATCCTTCATTTTCGCATCACAAATTTTCTTTCTGATACCTAAGTTATTATTTGTGTTGCTTAAATTTTTCAGTTTTGTTCATGGATCGTTGGAAATTATAGATCGTAAATGATAATCCAAAAGTTGATGCAAAATATAATTATAAAATCGCTAATAAACCATTCGTGTTTTACGCCAGGAATATGTTTTCCCAACAGAGCAGCAAGATCACTCAGAGGCTGCCGCCGAAGAGATCTGACAGCGGATCTGATAGCGGCCCGTTCTCCAATCACTGTCGGACTTTTGACACCCAGCTGAAGGAACTAAGTCAGCAGTTGATGACCGTGAAGGAACGATTGGGCGAATTGCAACGGGATGTTTCCGTTTTAAAGAGAGCGAACACTCCGCCGTTGGGATCGCGTTACGATCATGTGGCAAGGGATTGCCGTTTGCTCGAGCAACAATTGGAGCATCATCAAATGGAATTGGAGCGACTAAGAAACGTTTTCGACGCTCTCTGGGAGGAACAGATGTGCAGGATTCATATAGAAAAGGAGATTTTTCATTCTCAGGTATGTTCTCCCAGTCACCCAGACAGCACACAATATTTATGAAATATTTACAAATATTTATAAATATTTATAAGGCTTGTTTTAAATATCTTGTAAATATTTTTATGGTCTTAGATTGCTTAGATCATAAACATTTATTATAAATATTATGAAATATTTATTGTAAATCTTGTAGTAAATGCTATGGAGATACTTAATAAGAGACATTGTAATTCAAATAAAAAATACTCACTAGAAATATTTATTTATATTTATCATAAATATTACATTAAATGTTAGTCTATCTTTTAATAATATTTTGAATAAAGCTTTATACAAAAAAAATATGTATAAAATATTTATATAACATTTCAAAAAATGAATAATAATAAATATTCTGTGATATCTGAGCAAGTTAGCCTCGCGCTTGCATTTCTGTCTTCTTCATTATTTACTCTCTGCTGTTTCTGTTCAGATGAATGACATTTTATCGTTGAGGAGCGAAGTGAAAAAGCTGCAAGTGCTCGCTCAGCATCTGGAGCCCTTCGTCAAGTCGTTCTCGATAGGCATCGGTGCTGGGGAAGTGAGTGTGGCCGCAGCGGACGCGGCCGATAATCAACATCTACAAGCGTTGCTGGATCATCTGGCGCGCTTACAGATGCAGGAACCACCCCATCCACAGGCTCAAGCACCGACGAAAGATCATCGTCATCCACGTAGCACTGCCACGAGTGCCGACAACGCGCTATACATGAAGGGTGAGGAAAGCATCTCGAACGCGTTGGTGTTCCTCAGATTCCTCGCGTTCACGATAAAATAATGAATCGCGGATCGCGAATATTTATGTACTTTGTACTTAATTCGCAATTTAATTTATTGTACAGAAACGAAGGAGATTCCGACGCGATGTCGTACGCCGTCCGGTGGTGTTGGCGCCGTTTTGGACTCGAGCGGCAATATCGTTGTGTACGGGACGGCCAAATCAACCGATCCAAAGCGGGGTGTGCTTAGTCAATTGATCGAGAAGGCCAGAACGCAAAAAGACGATCGTAAGAAATCGCCAGGCAGAGAAGACGGGCGTGATCGGAGTCAGAGCCGGCGTTCGCGCAAATCACCGGACAGTGCGAAGCCGAAGACGCCACCCGGTCACTCATCCGGCAGCAAGATGCGGTCGTTGTATCGTTCCCTGAAAGGCGGAACCGGCGACACTTCCGCCGAGGCGCTCGATCAAGCGGAAAGATGCACCGACTCGCAGCAGCCGCAGTCTCATATCGGTAAGAATGGAAGAATCGCAGGACCATCGTGCGCAAACGAATACTGATACATTATGACACGCAGGTCTTCCTTTGTAGTCCATCGGGGCGAAATTTCGGGTTTAGACTTAGAGGCGATAAACATCCGACAGCCGAATACGTAAAGTTGCTCGCCGTTCATCGCACACGCTTATATATATATATATATATATACATACACACACAATATATGTAAATATGTTATGTACATTTAACGAAAGATATATCGATATATGTTGACCCACATGTAATCGCACATTTACCATCACGAAGTTAAGTGTCTCGTCGTCGTCGTCCCGCAGCGAACTTTTGTTACACCCGCTGCGTTCGAAGAAGATGAGACCGTCTTCTAAAAGAGTCCCGTGCTTCCAGCAGGCGACGAGGGCGAGTATCAACGAATCTCGGAGGCCTCAAGCATGGGGGAAGCGAAGAAGCGCGTGCAGGCGCAAGTGCATGCGGTCCCGACCGACGATCAGATACGGGCGATGCCAAGCAGCAAGGTCCCGAAAATCTACCCAGCCAGCGACTCCGAGGAGCTGTTCTACGGCGACGGGAAGGACGCGAGGAGGCGACGGCGCGCCAGCTGCGACAGTCTCAGCACGACTGGTTCCGGGAACAGTAGGCGGTCGAGCATCGCCGATGGGACGGTAGGTCAACAATCCATCGCACAGGACCCCCGGAAAGCCCTGGTCGTTTTGATCGGATCACGGACGTCGTCGTCTCTCATGCAGAAACAGCGTTCCTGGGAGACCTTCCCGCGGCCCAAGAGCAAGCGTGGCGCCGGTACCGACGGTGCGGGGGCTTCCTCCCTCGGTCAGCTGAAGAAAGCGGACAGCTTTGAGGGCCACGAGGAAGCGGTGCGCACCTTGGTAGCGGCCGTACAGGAGACGCGCTCTCAGCTCCGGCATCATCATTTACATCATCATCGTCATCATCGTAAGAGTAAAACGAATTGAGGCGCTTTTTGTCATTCTCGCTCCCTTCGCAACCCCTCCTCCTCGCGCGCAAAAATTACGTAAGGAAATATTGTCCGAAGGGTATCGAATAGATATCCGCGAGCCTATTGCGTTATAGATAGAAAAAGAAAAGAAATGAAAAAGAATGATCAAAAGACTAAATGCCGTGCCCCAAGTGGCTTAAGTATAAATGTTATTTATTAGTAAAGAAAGCGTATTGTTGTGAGAGCCGACGTATTATCGGTTTTTCGAAGATTTTGGACATTCTATTAGTATAATAATAATAATAATAATAATATGGGGATATATAAATATGATAATGGTAATGAAAAAGGTCTATATTCTGCGCGATATGGAAAATCAGAAATCTTCGTTATCGAGAGGCACTTCCGTCAAATGCGCTCTTATCTTTATATTACTTTTCGAGATTCTTTTGAGATCAAACGCGTGATATTTGTATTAATCCAACGTTTTTGACGTTTATATTGTGTCCCTCGTCGAAGTCGTATATCGCATACGACGTGCAACTCTCGCGAAGTACCTTTTATATAGCGATTTAATTGCATTCGAATAATGAAAGCGCCGAAGATCGGTATTGATTCCACTGTAAATGCAGACGTTAGAGATGGAAGAGAGAAGGAGAGTAACGATTACGTCTGCTACTCGTATTGTTGACAAGATCCGCCTGGGGCGGTTGAGACACGTAGAGCCTTGATTAAGGAAGATAAAACGGTTTTTCGGATAAAACGCGCGTGTGCAATGTACAATAATTGCAAAAGAACCACGGTTGACGTTACAATCTAAACTGTATACAGACGAATGTCTATTTCGTTCCGATCGCGCACATTATTTCGATTTCGTTATTAAGTACAAGAGTCCTGTTCGCGTATCCTCGTTTCTCCGTTAAAACATGCGGATCTATTACCACTGTGTCCGTATACACGCGATTTTTCCCTTGAACGTCAACGGGTCGGATGCATAGTCCAGTAAAGTACGTCGCGCGATTCGATCGATCAAGTAAAACGGTAATATTTAGCTAGTAAACAACACTGCCAGTCGCGATATATTACATCATTACGAATTTAATCGACGATACTCGATTCGCGAAGAATAGCCTAATTCGAGCGTTTACTCGTAATCGCCATCACAATAAAAACCCAGCGATCGCCCTACGACGCATGGGCTCGTCACGATTATACTCGTCACAATTATTGACTATAATGTAACGATAATATTATTCCAAACGAGGGGCGCAAGGATAAAAATCGGTATTACGAGGAATCGGCTCTTCCTTGTGAAAGTCAATGCGATCGTTAATCGTTGTTTCGAATTTAACTACGAGCGAAGATTTGTAATCTTCAGCAGGGTTACAATGAACGTTCTAATTATAGCGAGTGTACACACGTAAGCATGTATGAGAAATTGTCGAATTGCTGGTATAGTAAAATATATACAAGTTAATAAATATACCCTTGATTTATATACCGTATCTTGGTGTATTGAAAGCGATGCATGAACTTTGTCGCTCACTTCAGTTTTACAAGTATCCACAGTTGTATACGTACATATATAAAAAAACATGCATATTCGGTATTCCACTTGTTGAATTTTACAGGCAGGCTATAAAGCTGGGAGCTTCAACGGATGAAATACGAGAGAACATTTTGGCCTTCGATGTTTGCATTTTTTTTTCCAGAATTAATACAGCGGTAGTATAACAATTTCCAATTAATTAATCTGATAATTGATTGTGATATTTTACACGTATTTATTTAAGACTAATATACGTAATTGATTTATACGTAATTGTCGACTTTATGTACACTTCTCTTCTATTTTCACATATTATAGTACAGTACACACAATCGACCACAATAAAAATTCTCTCTCCGTCGTTTCTTCTCTTTCTTCTTCTCAGGTAAAATGTCTCTATACTTCTGGCACGCCCATTATAGATAATACCAAATCATTGGTATAAAAAGGAAAGAGTCTCGTGCAGAAACATATAATACAGCGTATGCATTTCTGCAGAGATAAAGTACACATTTTGTCGCTACTTGTTTAGGTATCATACTGTTTCTTTCTTTTTTGTTATTGTTTCATCGATACTAGTTTCACTAACTTCGAACTTGTCAGAAATTTTGTAGGAATTTTCGTAGGAATCTTTCGGGTATTCTTTGATCTTCTCCGTTTGTCCTTTCGTAGTACTCGACTTCTTCAGTTCTGCGTTACCATTATTTATTTTCAATAATGTCATGATACCCCAGCTGTTACTTTCTAATTTGTTGGTGGTTTCTAGCGCGTAGATCGCGTCGTGCGTCTTCGAAATTATGCGATTCAACTCGTGGAGACTGACGTTTTTGCAAACGTTCAATGTCGTTTCTAAAGGATTGGTAATATGGAGCGCCGAGTGTGATGGTTTTCGAATCTGCATACCCTCGCGAATGCATATCCCATACGTTTGAAAATCGAATGTCGAATAATACTCAAAGAAATCGTATAGAAGTGTCTCCAGACTATCCTGATTTGTCTTATATTTGTAATCGGGTGGCAATTTGTTAATATTCCGCAGGAAGGTGCAATCGATACCATTCTCTGCACAACGAATGTCATCGCGCGCTATATAAAAGAAAAGAAAATACAATTTACTAATCTGACGTTATGTAATTCTTTTGTTTATGATATATGTGACTTACACGAATACAACTTTAATATTTTTAAAGACGGTAATATCTTCTTTTGTTGTAAGAAGAATAGCACTAACAACGTAAGAGGAAAATTTGTTATCCAATGTCCTGGTATGTCGGATGTTAATTCCTGATTCTTCGCCCATACTCGTATTACTATAACAAGCGGTCTTATTCGCCAATCCATCTCTCCGTACAAATTTAGTAATTCGGTCATATATATAGCAGTCCTGTAGAAGAGATCAGTATTGACATTTTAGTCTTTTTAACCATCTAACCACTGCTAGAAAAATTACATTTAAGTTTTAAAATGTCCTGTTTCTACAATTCAGAATCTCAGTACTAATACAGATACAGATTGTATAACCATCTAAAATTTGTTGTTTTGATTCCAAATGACTTATTGCTGTAGTTGAGGGTTCATTATAAAAAAATAATAAATCCTACATCAAGTAAAATTAATGTTTCGACTTACATATTTGTTGCACTTAAGTCACATTCAGTACGTGTGTAGTCATAACAGAATTTAATTATAGGTACTCGAGCCTCCAGAATCCTTCTGACATTAAGAATTCCAGGGATGAAATGCTGCATGATGTTTGCGAGTATTCCTAAAAATTCTTTTGTTTCATGCCTATCGCTATTATTCGTAGACTTTGAGTGAAATACCAATCTATTCATGACATTTTCCTACAAATGTTACAATTCACTGATAAGTAGGATTAAATACGTAAATATTTAATTAATTTGAACATTACATATATATTTACTTCTTCAATTTCGGGAACAAGAACTAAATCAAGGTCACATCTTTTCCTTCCAAAACCATTTATAGAGGAACCAAATGGCAGAACCTTTATATTCTCAAATAGTCTAGAAAAGTATTGCTCTAAATAGTGAGCAGTGTGAAACCTCAGTCTTACTTCTAAATCGCTTAATTTCATCGTCTCATAGAGAATTATTATCTGCCCTGATATCTGCAAAGACAAGTTTTATAAGGTTAAATGTTTCGAATAATTCTAACTGTAACATAAATGAGCTTACCGATTTTGCATTATATAATAGCTTTGCTGTCTCCTTTTTGGTAGGCAACACACAACCATTTTCCACAAATAGAGATGCCTTTTTCTGATTATCTTTCTGTGGTGTAACAATTTGTCCTTTACGAAACCATAATATCGAGGATTTTATGGGAATAATGTCTCTATTCATAAAGGAAGCAGACGACATAACTTCATTTATTGACATCATATTTGTAAACTCAACCAAGATAAAATTCTGAAATTAATCACAATATTGTACTTTTCTAACACAATATTCAACATTATGTATTAATATTACATTTATTTAATTTATTTAATTTTGAATAAAAATTAAACAATAGCTGACATACTTGATCATTTGTATAATAATGGTGCATACTCAAGATGTGTCCAAACCGCGAACAATAATTATGGAGATCATTGTATGATTTCGACGAATGTACCTGTATCAATAAGCTTCGACATGCCTGATTTCTTCTTTTGACGATTTCAGTCTCGAGTATGCTTTCTGTAACTGCAATTGCCAGATATAGATCTCAGTGTGAAAACAGAGAATAACTGTGGTATATGAGAAAGATCGATTTAATTAGAGGATATTAATTCATGCTGCATTTTCAACAATTACATTAAAGCTAGTAAATTATTTTGAAAAGGAATATGTAAAGGGCCTATTCGTTTTATCCGAATTTCTTGCACAGTTTTTCCTTTTTCTCTCCAATATGGAAAAAAAAAATAAAAGCTGAATTGAGCAAGAAGTTCAACTAAAAAGAACAAGCCTTGTTATATTATTTCTTTTTACTTGTCGTCACCGGGTGATGAACTTCAATGTGCTTTCAACCTGTTCTTTCAGGTTAAGTAGCACAAAACTTCTTGATCTTAAGTATAATTTTTATCACTGCTTATTTTATAATAACTTAGGGAAATAAAAGTTCGTTTGAGTATCTATAATCCCTCAGTTTTATATTAATATTTCGTTCTGATATTATTATTGCTTTATGATATTATTTGTAAACCTATAGGTTATACGTTGAACTTATAATGTGACTCACCTTGTTTATCGTTCTTATGTTGCATGATAGTTGACGGTATTGAGGTACGACTGCGCGATTTTAATCTACTTGTGCCCATTGTGAACTTTTTGCAATAACAGTGATTTAACAATGAAAGGATATTCGAATTAGCACGGCCGAAAAGCGCCATTTTTAAATGTGCACATAGCTCTATATACAGTGTGCAGCATGTACCACGCACATGTGCGAATCGGTGCGAACAGAATAGGTTATCGAAAGCCCCGTTCTTTATTCCTGCACTGCACTTTCTGAACCGGTGCACATGAGGCCTGTTCTTTTTGGCTGAACTTTTGCACCAGTTCATCTTTCTTCCTTTTCTCTTCAGGAGGAAAGAAAAAGAAGAAAGATGAACTGGTGCAAGAGTTCAGTCAAAAAGAACAGACCTATGGTATGATAAGTTGAGGCGTTTGTTTCATTTCAATTTATTGCACAATGTGCAAATCAAGAGTTCAGAGAGTACAGAAATAAAAAACAAACGCACTGCATATCCTACATATTTTACATCACTTTACATCATCTACTTTATATATGATTAGAGAAAATGTGCTTTTTCTTTCATTCTTCAACTCTACCTTTCGAATGGAGAATACAATAAATTATAGTACATGCCATCTTTTGTTTGATTATGTTATCTTGATATTAAAGTCGACTTTTGCGAATATATATATATATATATATATTTAAACTTTCATTGGTATAATAATAGTATTGTAAGGTCGGTAATTATTTATGACTGGTAAATTTGCTAGTGATTTTGTCGACTGTCTGTACAAATTATCACTGACAATATACCCAGATAGCACACAATATTTACAAAATATTTACAAAATATTTATAAATATTTATAAGATTTATTTTAAATATTTTGTAAATATTATATATATATATGTTTGTGGTCTTAGATTGCACAGATCATAAACATTTATTATAAATATTATGAAATATTTATTATGAATGTTATAGTAAATGCTATGAAAATACTTAATGAGACATTATAATCCAAGTAAGAAATACT